ATCTTATAGTTCTAATTCTTAATGCAACTTGAAATTGAATCTCACCTAAGGGATTAGGGAGGTTTAGTGGATTGTTAGGGTCAATGAGTTAAGGAATTAACCTTTGACTATTACTATGCGAAACTGATTGTCAATTAACCAAGTTCTTGAATGTTCAGAGGCATAATTGAATTAATACTAATATTCTTGTGAAGTAAATTCCTAACTATTCTTCATTCCTATCTCATTTCATTACATACTCTGTTTTTCTGCAAGTTCTTTACTTTAATTGCTTTTGTTTACTGCTGTTATATGTTACAAATCTCATTCCAAAATTCGTATGGCTCAAATGGTTATAATTCTGTGAAGTGGTACTTGAAACCTAAATTCCCTGTGGAGACGATATTCTGATCTTAAATTTACTCATCACTTGCTGCAATTCTAGTGCACTTGCTAGTGTTAGATTGCAAACAACAGTCCTCCACAAATACATCATATTTTTTTAAAATCCAGGGAATCATTGTCTCTCGAATATTAGCTTGTTACTTCCACTTGCACCTTCTTTCTTTTATGTTATAAACAGACAATCATTCGTTGAATGTCTTGTCTTTTCACAGTGGTCGCACGTTGTAGGTAGTCATGTACAATTCTTCAACATATGAGGTCCCCTGCACCGAAAACATTTTATTGAATCCAAGCAGTCCTTGCTTTTAGATACACATTTCTTGTTTCTATTGGCGCTTCCACTTTTCTAAGATGCTGATCAATAAATATTGGCTAAGTGCCCCTTGTTTCCATAGTAGTTACAAGTCAAGATTGACATAGGGCAGTCTTGGACCACACGAGGTCCCTTGCATTGGGAATGTCTAACCTTACCCCGAGAGTTCTTAGAGTTATGTGTGTTGCTATTATGAGGTGTCTTTCTCTTTGCTTGAAATTGAGTTGTATTTGGGTACGTCATAATTCATGTATTATACCATATCAATCAATGTATCACAATATATGTGCCTAATCGCACTCATCGATGCATTACAACACATATATCATAACTACATCAACCGACATGTTACAATGCATACATTATAATCATATGAGTACAACAATAATCCATATTCATCACACATTCACATTCATTGCCCCTGGGATCCTTTGAGGACTTCATAGCATAGATAGTCGCTGGTTAGTCGCAGCAACACGAATACACATGTGTCGACCTGACCTCTTTTAGCAAAGGTATAGTCAAGAGTCTTGTTAGGAAATGAGTGTGTGGCCTGTGAATGCTTTCACTTTCAGCAATTCATTGTGCACCCATTTATACTTAGTATTCACCATACTTATTTTCCAAAGATTTCCTAAATCTTCTTTGGACTATATACCCTAGTGTATCTCTATAGCTATCTATACTTACTATCAGCATTTCTCAAATATTCTCATTATTTTCCATATCCTTTTCATATATCAATGTGTCATAATATTTGAGTCTTGATCGTATAACTTAATGTATTACAATACATGTATTATAAGTCCACACTTTTGATGCACACAATACCTATATCATCATCACATCGATCAATCAATTCTGGCTCAAGTATTTATAATCACATTTCTCACAATTCCATCATCATGTCCTATCATTTCATTTCATACATAAAACTCTTTCTTCATTTGAGAATAGTATAATACTTTTCATTAACAACATAATTTCACCTATTCCAACATGCATCAGTCATCAACAAACATTCATATTTATATTATCATATCCATCTAACACAAAAGATCCTTAAACAATTTCACACAACACAAATCAATACAACGTGCTGGAGATCGGACACCTCCAAACCCAATCGTATAATCCAACATACACACTTTCTCAGCATTAATAAAATCGTCTATTCTAAAGTTCAATATTACTTATTCATACATAAATAATAGTAAAATCTTAAAAATTTTCCAGAAGCTTAGTTACTCATCTTTTTACTATAAAATTTTATCTATATGATCTTTGGATTAAACTATTAGTTCCTCATACCCAAAATTTCATTTGTAGTAATACAATTTAGAGAATCATTGGAGTTTTATTATCAAAAACAAAATACCGAAGTTAGGGTTCAAAAGGGGGGTTTCGTGTCAAACTCTCTATCCTACACATTAAATTTTTAAGAAAACCTTAGTATATAAGGTCCCAATAGAAATTTGGTACTTTTAAACAAAAATATCAATAAGGAGTTAGGGTTTGGGATCAACTCCCCTTACCTGGAAATAGGTCTCTCAGATCAAGCTTTCCTAGAGATCCAAGGGAGAGGTACAACATCTTGGTAGATGATCGCTCAGATTGCATAAAGATTTGTCACTAATCTTCATCAAAATATGCCAAAAAAAAATGTATATTCTAGGATGCAAGCCTAGGTTGTCTCCAATGACTTTGATTGAAAATGTTCATCAAACATGTTACAAACATTCGCTATAAAAATAATTAAATGGGAGGTTTTGTATGATTCCAACTTCAATAATAAGAGCAAGAAACAAAATTATGAAATTCAATCAATAAGATGAAGCTCACCCCGCCTTATGGCCATAGTCATCTGATACCTCTATCCCAAAGTCTTACACATCCATGTAAATAGTCATCAGATGATTTAATGTAATACGGATACAACCCATGCAATAGACAACCTAAGGTAATGATGGTCAGGAGTCAAGGCAGAAAATGAGTGTGTGGCCATGTGGTGCATTCGTTCACAATATTCTATGCACAATCTCAAATGTCGCTCACCACCATGCATTTCTCTAAGATATTCATATTGCCTCCATCTTTCGCACCCCCAGTGTATCTCTGTAACTATTTACATCATATCCATTTCCATCTCATACTCTTTTGAGTATATTCACATGTTCACATATGTCATTTGTCATGTTCACACATATTTTTCATTATATTTCCACATACTTTTCATCATATACATCAAACCATGGCATATTCATAACATACATCATTTTTACATCAACCACAATATATTCAAACATGAAGCATCATTTTCTTTGAACATTTCATATCACAAAATCATAACATCATATCAATCATCCTCAATATACCTTATCATGCACTATTTAGACATAGTAACATATTTTCCCAATATATTTTCATATATTCATCATAGAATCACATAAACAACCAATTATTCTCACTTTTCATCGATTATTTTTCACAAAACAAGGATTAATCCACATATAATCATATATAACAAGATCTATAAGAACACAAGTAATATTCATAACAAAATGATAAAGTAGAACCTCACCTTACCTTAAGATAAAGATTTCTCAAAGATTTAACCAAAGATTTTGCTCTAAAATCAAAGTTTATCCTAAAAACCATAAGATATCTATAAGAAATGTGAGATGAAGAGAAACAAACGGTAAATCTAGATTTAAACTTAGAGAAACTTACTTCAAATCGCATAGAATGAACGTACGATCACAGATCTAGAGAGATAAAAGTTTAGACGGGTTTAATATGAGAAAAAATGAAAATCTAAGGGTTTGGTTCGTTTGAGAGCTTAAGGGAAGTTAGGAAATGAAAAGTTTCGTACATGAGAACCCTTTTATATAGAGCTCACTTCGCAAACCACCATAGATCTCGCTTAAGCAAAAATATCTCTCTTGAGCAAGATTTGCTGATGTTGTCGACTTTGAAAGTGAAGGTCTAAGATTCATCCTTCTCGCTTGAGTGAGGTTGTCTCGCTTGAGCGAGAATTCATGTACTTCACCTCCATCAAACACTTAGAAATTCAATCCAAACTCATTTCAATCATACTTAATATCAAATAATTCTTCAATTAATACTTAAAAATACTGAGTGTTACAAGAAATACCCTTACATTCCATCCTTGAGGTCAAGGATATTTTCAAGGGAGGGGGGAGGGCATTGATATGAAGTAAAACTATTAAGTCAGTTAGTTACTTAGTTAGGTATAAGTAGCAAGTTAACTAATTGATCCCCATTCAATTCATATCTTGTAATAACCACTTCTATAAATCTCTGAAAAATCTCAATAAAATCATTCGGGACATTTTCTTCCATAAGGTTTCCTCTTTTCTCTATGTTCTTCAAGTTTATGCTTAATTCCTAGAACTAGAAATATCGTGTATCTTTGAATATCGTGTATAATAATGTGATAGTTAAGCCAGATTTTATATTTTGAAATATTTTTATATCTGTATGTTATAATTTGTAATATAAACTCCACAAATAAATATATTAGGTGTAATCAATTAGTTTATTTATTTTGTTGTGTTCGCAAAAAGATAAAAAATAAACTACAAATTTTCAAGAGATACTTTTATTCAAATTAAATTTAGAATCAGATTTAAATGTTAGAGTTTTAATATTGAGTTCACAAAAATCGTGAATTATTGGCTGATTCTAACGGATCGTCAAATTTTAGATGATGAAACTACAGGAGGAATTTGCTTGATATTTTGAAAAATTTATCTTACTACTTCATGTGTGTTGGCTTCTAAATAAACTTATCCGATTATATGATGTATCTAAGAAACTTGGCATGTGTAATGATCTTGAGTCTAAATACATATCGTGACATTTAATGATAATGTCCTGACCTTTAATATTTAACCTTATTATTAGATGATCAAAATAAAACTTTGACTCTGGATGAAGATCAACACCAACAATAATATTGCACCTATTTTTTATCCTTTAATTTGTTTTTGCCACTTCTAGTTAAGCTTGCTGCACATATGCTCTATCTAAAATCTTGAAAACCACCTTCACAAATCAGTCATCTAAATCAAATTACATTGCATTTTAACCAGTGAATCAGGTTGGGTAGAATAGAGTGTTTGTTTGATTCACATTTGAAGGGTCATAGATCCAAGTTTATTTCAATGTTATTGGATTGAATTCATGTTTAAAACACTTTCAATGTGTTTCGAAACGCTGATTTCTTTTCTTTCTACTAAACAATGTACAGTGCGGAGAGATAAACACAAAGTTTCTCTTACACAAGGCCCTACAATCTCTATCTCTTTCAACATGGCATTTTGACAAGAAAACTAACACAAAAAGATTCAAATATGATTTTTCATCTAAAAAATTTAAACATAACAAGAAAATAAGTTGTTTGGATCAACAAATACCTACGAAGTCTATGTTACAATCATTCCTTCCGTTTTGTATTCTTTTTCCTCTCTTTTTTCAGTATGGATTATAATATTTCCATCACTTAAAGACTGGACCTGTTTCCCTCAATTACATGTTACAAATAAGCCCCACCAGGTGTGAACTGAACAAAGTTCATCAAGCTGAAGGGTGGGATAAATTTTTCTATAACTGCCAAGGACAAACCAGGGCAGAAAATAATGCACCAGTGAATGCCTCATTGGAAAAGATTCCGAAAACCTTTGAAGATGTTTAGGGCTCTTAATTCACCAGCCCTCATATCCCTCAGTTTTCTTCTCAGTATCTGCCATCATTATTAAAAACCAGTCAGAATTAGTGATAAACAGATATTATATTGTGAGAGAGTTGCATGCCATCATTGGTGCGTGAAATTACAAAAGAAAGCATCAACCTAATTTGAAGGTTTATTATTTACTTTTCGACATTTTTTCATCATTTTCTTTTCTGGGACCAATGTTACATGGATCTCATGTGCCATTGAGCTCGGTCAAAAACTAAATTTTTAGAAATTTGGTTACCAATGTATAAACATACATGCTTGACAATATTCAAGTGCATGCACCAATCATAGTTATAACATATAACAAATGAATTGCTATTTTAGTGTCTTGTTTACTTTTGACTCCTTTCTTAATGTTTCTGTATCCATCCCTAACAATTACCACAACAAAAAGATAGTTGATGGAAATGGAATTACATTTGCCGATGGAATGCTTTTCATGTTTATTTGGAAAGTGAAGAAGTGACATTTGTACATGAAATAAACTATGTTAGGTTTGAGAAAAAAGTAGTTCAACAAATAAGCTATAACCAAGTTCAGTGTTTACTTCAAACAACCAGCAATGTTATGTAATGTAGAGATTAGGGGAAAAATGCTTATTAACTTACATATTGAGCACGGAATAATATTCTTCGCTCACTATTACACAAATCCACAGCTAGCTGTTTCAGAAACAGTCTTCTGTTGAGTTGTTTAGGAGAAGTCACATCCAAATCCAGTGATCCACTTGCCTGCCAGAAACATGCAAATTTCATTTAAGATAGTTCTGATTACCAATACAATCCAGATGAAAGAGAATTGCGAGGGATTAACTCATTAGAGACTAAGAATTAGATAAAGCACAGTGTTCAAAACTATGGATTAAAAAAAATAAAAATAAAACAAGACATATAAAGCATTTCCTTGCCTGTAAGAACTTGTTGTATTTTGATATACTGAATTCGCAGCTATCTAGTATGAATTGCAATGCTTGGTCCTCTATTTCAGGATATCTCAAATCCTTCATGGAGGTAGTTTTATTTGATGCTGCAGCAGCCATCTGTTAACAGAATCACTCATAGGGTCATACAACAGCCATAGAATAATTCACAAAGATTGCAAGTGCAGACCTCTTCAAATTTTCCTCCCATGCTTGAAGGACTAACAGCTAAATAAGCATAAGCCATTAATTCCAAGGGCCAACCAGTAATCTGTACAGGAAAACACTGAGATCTGATAAAAATATAACAAAGAAGTTAGTAACAAGTTCAATTACAAGTATACTTCAGAATCATATTTCAAAAGTATATTGTGTATGAATAATAATGTTTCTTGTCTGAAATTTAACTCTGTTGAATTTAGACACTAAGCCTAACTCAACCTCAACAGCTAGCTTGTAAGGAGAGGATTACTTTAACCTTTATAAGTTCTTATTAGTCATATACATAGTCAATGTCAGACTTCAACACACTCCCTTGCTCAAGATTAGACATCTAGAGCATGGAACTGTAGGACTGTTTTCTTTTTTTTATAATATAGCACTAGATAAGCCATGGGACCAAGTAAGTAGCACTGGGAAACCTGCAGGACCAAGTAAGTTGCACAGGGTAAACCACTGGGCCAGGTTAATTGCACTAGGAAAATTCATGGGGTTGATTTTATTTTATTTTTGTAGCCAAGGGTGGCCTAATATTGGATCTATTGGCTTTGATACCATATAGAGAAGAGAAGAAATATTCAAAACACCTCTTCTCTTTTCTATAAAATCTTCAATTAATCCAGAAAGATGGTAAGCAACAACTGGTGATGGTTGTTATGATAGTAGAAGCTCAATGTTTATCAATGGCAGATGACGGGTCAAGGCGGACAGCTAAAAAACTGCCATAAAATTATGGCCGGCTTATGGGGGAAGCATGGTGGCCGTAATAAAATAATACAATATATATATATATATATATATATATATATATATAGAGAGAGAGAGAGAGAGAGAGAGAGAGGAGAAGATGCAAACTGAGTGAGAAACAAAGCAGTGTTTGAAAAAGAAAAAACAGAGCACAGAAGAAGAAGCAAAATAGATGCAGAGAGTGTGACAAATGGAGCAGTGTATGAAGCAGAAAAACAGAGCACAATTAAGCAAAATGGAAAATAGATGCTGAATAACAGGGCTAAGAAGCTATATTGTAATAAAATTTCTGTTGAGATCCCACATCAATTACAGATATGGCCTAAGTAGACCATATAAAGGCTAAGATAATCTTGACCTTACAATCTATCTTATGGGGTTGACCTAGCCCAAGACCAAATCCAAGAATTTCAAAAAAGAAAATAATTGCACCAAAAAGTTGTGAGTAAATATGATTATTTTGAAGCATGGACACTTCTACACAGTACTTCACATGCTAAAAAGATGTGAATACAACTTTTATGATATTTTCAGCACCTTGAAAAATTGATATTTTGAAAATGCCTTGCAATGTCCTGAATGAAACTATCAATAAGTTGAAAAATGTTAATTGATACAACATTCGTAGTGAATGCTTCATATAACTTCCACTAAGGTATAAAATAGGAATGCTGCTGAAAATATTTTTACCAGAACAAAAGACAAGGAACTTCATCCTTATATATCTAGGTATAATTATGAAAATTTAGGTACTCACGCTGATAATCCATACTTTTTCAGCAATTCTAACTTCTCCTTATAGGAGCCATCAGTTTTTTTGAGTGACAGTGACAATTCAACTGAATCACTAGGATTAGCACCTTCTTTTGGAACAAATCCATACGATAACAGAAGCTCCCCATTAGATTTTTTTCCATAAGAAATAAACACCTGCATAATTTGATGCAGGCAATCAATTGCAATCTCAGGATTTAAATCAAATGACTGAGAAAACCTAAATGGTGAAGAATATCATCATCAAACACAGCTCTAATCAGACTAACATTTTATTCGTGAGGCACTAATGCAAATGGCAGAAACTTAATTGTTTTACTCATTCATATGCCATAATGCACTTTAGCAAAGAACAAGGGATATGTGTTTTATTTACTTGGCACTCACTTCTTTAAGTTAATCTAATTTAACAAATTCCAGTCTTTCAATTTATGTTTACCTGCTCACCTGGTTGATAAGGCCGATCTGTCATGAAGACAACTCCCTCTGATGTCTTATCATAATCCAAAAATGTCTCCACCTAGACCAGTGAAAACAAATCAGAGTTAAACTTCACATGGAAAAACTTTAGAGGAATCTAAATATTTTTTGCAAGATAACTTACATCACAACTATGATTCAACATATCAGCCCAGGGAACCAAAGCAACTTTTCCATCCATTGAGGGTAACCGAACCTGCATGGTACAAAGATCATGAATGATTGTTCTGGTAAACAACCATCTGTCTTAAAAATGAAACAACAAAATCAAAGTCTTGTTGAATTAATTGATCGAAAAGACAGAAAAATAAGAAAGCTGTCAGTTTTGTATAGAGCAAAAATATTGTCATAAATTATTAATTCTCCTTTCCTGTAGATTAGTTTTCAAATGCTGCAATTTTAGGAGCTATGGTTTTTCAGACCTGACGCATTATGGCATTTTTTTAGTTTTGGACCTCACCTCTTTCAAAATCAGCTCTATTATGACTCACAGGCCATAATCTGTGAATTGAATTATATAGGAAACATGGAAATTCTTAGTAGCTATACTTGAGTTGTACAGAAGAGGCAGACAATGGACTATAATTTGATTTCATTTCATCTACCAGGTTCACTCACCAAGCGAGAGAAAAGAATACCAAATGACCATTTGAAGGACTCTATGTTGAACACCTGTAAGTTATACAAATAACATAATCAGATCATAACCAGGTTATTGAAACAAAAGTCTATGGTTTTCTTGAACTATTAACTGTCATCCCTTGTTTAATGTAAGATAATTACCTCTTCGGGGAATAAATCAGGGTATTTGGAAAATATCCTTAGCCTTAAATCATTGTATCTGGAGAATAAAAGGGAAGTATTTATGAAAAGACACAGGATTATTCAATCAAGAAAGCACATTAGATTGATGCTTGAAGAAAAATGACAAACAACAAAATCCTCAAAAAATAAATAGAAGGTACAAACAACTGGTCCATACGTTCCAATAACATTATTAATCCTTTCAATTGCTCTCTCCCTAATCTGTGAAGCTTCCAAGTAGCGATCTAGTTCTGCTTGCGACCTGAAATGACATAAATGCCTCTCTTGTATAGACATAAGGAAGGGGAATGAAAACAAAAAGAAAAAGTAAAGTTTATATTTACTGAAATCAAAATGATACTTTTAGAAAGGCTTGTAATGTATAAATCTTAAATGCATGAAATGTTCCATTTTTGGATAGGCTGATGTTGGAGAAATTGTTGTAAAGTAGTCTCATCATGTCCATTTCTCCAATATGGTTGTAAAGTAGAATAGCATTTCAAACCCAATTTGTTTCCTCACTCTTCAGTATTCATTTTTCTCATCTTTCCTGAACAAGATCTCGAAAGATTTCATCAAAAGAACAACTCATTTACCAGTAAAGAAGTGAGTAAGGTTGACGAGGTAAGGCCGATATATAATTGCTCCATCTTGAAGATTCCATGAGGCTAGCTTCACTTATGAGGTAAGTTGCAATCAATGGCCAATCTGGCACTGAATTTTTCTTCAGTACTTTACCAGCCTCTGGGCAGCTCCACTCCTGACAACCAGAAGACACACCAAACAAAAGCATAAGCAAACAACTGATCCAAATTCATGTACTGAATCAACAAAGTATAACCACACATTTTCAGTAGAGATTTTAAAAAGCTTCCATTTCCTATATCAGTGAAAAACAACATTTCAGGGAACACCAGACGTAAAAATAACGAGCAACGCAATCAAGTTTGATGGTACTTCACAGAGTGTCAAATTTTAGTAAAAGCTGAACAAAGAGACACATTCTATTGACACCGACAATATAGTATTAACTACGACAAAACTAGATACAATAGCAAAAATGATATTGTACTCGAATAAAAATTGGACACAAAATATAAAACCGGTCAAGTGCCAAATTTAGTTACCAAGATGAAATTGATAGCCACATTGAAGGTCTGTAGCAGTTGGCTACCAATATCCAGCCAGTTTGTTTTGCATTTCCAGCTTTTGTAACTGAGTTTCACCGTTTTCAAAGCACATCAATAGTGGCTTTTTCAAAGTACAAGATTCCCAGTTCCTAGAAACTGAGTTTCCAAACGGTGAATGGTTCCAAAGAATCCAAACAAACCCAAAGAGCCTATTTGGAAAATAGTTGAAACAGAATTGTCACGCTTTTCAATGCACAAGAACCACATTAGCATCACGTTTTTCCGGGCAAAGTTTTATCAAAGAAGCAAAACTTGGTCATCAACACTGATACAAACAGGCTGGAAATATAACACTTGGACAGTTTTGATTTGAATATTGTATCTAAGTTTTGTCCACATAACTAAAGGTTATTCTGCTAATTTCCCAAGTATACCAATTCAAACGGAAACTTAAATAAACTAAAAATGGTGGTAATACCCACATAGTCACATACATAAACTAGACTACTAAAATTAATAATATATTTCAATTCCACTACTTTCTATTTACTTTGAATTAAAGTGAGGGAAAGGAAGAAGAAAGGGGTTACAGAATCTGCGGTTATGACAAGGGAGGGAGGCACAAAGAGGAGTTTCTCCCCTTTCCTTATATTCTTCAAAGCAACAAGTCCTCTCTCTCCCACATCCACTCTTTCTATGCCCATCTTCTGCGGTGGAAGGCCAGACTCAGACAGCCACCTCTGCAAAGCTGATGCATTCTCCAATGAGTCAATCTCACACCCCCAAGGAATCGTTTCCATAACTGAGCCTTGAGTGGCACCACTTGCAGACACTGAGCAGTGAATTTGGTGGCGCTTTCGTCGCATGGTTAGTTGAGGTTGACACACATGATGCGTTCTCTGGATCCTCGGGCTATAACATGGAACAAGAGTGCTGTTCATTATTCTTGATGCTTCAGCCATGTTTCTCTTTCAACACACACACCAACACAACCTTACCCTATCTGCTGAAACTTTAGAGCAACTTAGCTACGGAGGGATGGTGCTAAGTTACAGTTGCGCCACGTGTGGTCCCAATCCCAAGTTTGATTTAAGATTTCTTTAACGTATTTTAAATGTGTATTTTTCATAATAATGTACAAGAAATATAAAGAAAAAATCAAGTAAAGATGATAGGTCAAAGCAGAAGAGAGAGAAATTGATTGAAAATAAAATACTATAAATAATTTTTTTAATATACAAAAATTAAATATAAATATTTATTTTTTATTTTTTTAATAATTAACTACTAAAATAATTTTAAAATCAAATTATTTTTCTATTTGACTTTTTTTCGTCATTCCAAATTTAGTTTTGCATTTTAATGAGATAAACATATTTTTTATTTTTTAAATATTTTTGTATTATGACCAAATAAAATTTAAAAAGTAACGAGTTAAAATTTTATTTATATAATATATTAAATTTATTAAAAAATATTTTAAATTATTTGATATATATATATATATATATATATATATACATAAGAGAGATTTAAGAGAGAGAAGCTCTGAGAGAAAAACCTTCTTGTAAGCCTTCTTCTTCTTTGAGATCTTTCAATAAAATTTGCTGTTTCAAATTATTTTCCTCTCTTCTCCCTCTTAGCCGGTCCTGTTCGGACTACCGTCGCTCCGGCTTTCTTCTCTTCTCCCTCCACTAGATCTGTGTTGGTTATACCACCGTTCTAGTTTCTTTATGTTATAACTGTTTTAAATACTGCACTTTTAAATTTCTTTATGTTATAACTGTTTTACATACTGCACTTTTAAATTTCTGCATTTCATTTAGTAGTCCTGCTACTGCCTACTTTCCTTTCAGTCGTTTATTCTACCTTTAGTGGGTTATCTGGTATCAGAGCCAGATGGGGAAGTAGGAATATAACTGTTGATTGTCTGTAACTATGTTCTTCTGGATCTGGACTTTAAATTCCTTTATGAGATTTCTGTAACCATGGTTTATAGGCTGGACAGCTGACAGGCCCTTCGGGTGAGATCAGTAATGATCGTCCCTGTCTGTAACAACGCCACGAACTAATGGTACTGAAATATTGCTTTTGTACAGTTCTTTGTTTTTAGAAAATCCTTTACTGGAAGTACAGCAGTTCTTCGTTCTTTTGAATAGGGCTGTAGCAGTAAGTCCCGTATGGTTGAAAGGGCAGTAAGGCTAATTTGACGATGCTGTATTCAAAAGAAACAAAAGAACATAAGAAGCTGGTGGCTATAGTAAAAGAATTTTCAGAAAATTAAAAAATTAAAAAAAAAAAAAAAAAAAAAAAAAAAAAAAGTCCACAAATAACCAGATCTAATTGGATTAGTTATAAACAATTAACAGATGTATTGTTACGGAACCAAATGAGGGTTATGAGCCAGATGTTTTATATCATGTCTAGACTTCTACGCTCTTTCTCTAGCATTTCCTTTCGTTCTGGCTCCAGTTCCTCCTCCTCCTCTCCAACTAAAACCAATCCCTTTAATGACCAGGAGAATCATTCTCCTGAAATCACACCCAAACATAACCTCTTCGACGAAGAAGTTCGTTTTGAAGAGATCAATCAAAGTATGGATGACTGGACTATTCCAGTCATTCCTCAGGACACATTATATGTTCCTGAAGACCAACCCAAGAAAAACAGTTCTGATTATATTATCAAGACTGTTGAAAATAATATCCCTTTAGGGAAAGGTATAGGGAAAGAATTTCATCTCCTGTCTAAATCCTCTCTCAATGACCATAAAAGAAAGTACAAGTACCTTCACATAGGATGTGTTCAGGTAGCAATTAAACCTTTGATAGACATAGGCATAGATGCTGCTGTCTTAATTTGTCTCAGAGACATTCGTCATAATAAATTTGATGATTCTCTCATAGGAACAGTTGAAACCAGTCTCGGTCAAGGTCCGATTTATTTTAACTGTTTTCCCAACAAAACTGTGAGTCTTATGGATGAACACATCCTAGACTCCTTATTTCTTAATATTTGCTTTCATGGGTTAGACATGAAAGAGGGATCTATTCCCGCCGCTTTAATCTATAGGATTCAGTATAAGGTCATGAATTCTTGTGCCTCTAGAGTCCTTCTCAAACCTCAAAAAGGAGAAACTACTTTGTTTATCACTGATATGACAAAGGCTAATGTTTCTCTACCTAGAATTATTAAATGGGATGAGGTTACTCTTCCAGAAAAATGGGTGATGGATAAAGCCTCACCCAGTGTTCCTCGTCCTGCTCCTCAAATACAGGACATCTCACAGGACAATTCTGGAAAGGTTGAAATAACCTTTGATAGGAGAAACTCTTTCTCCTCTAGGATCGATGCTTATAGTAATCGATCTGATTTTGTCTCTGCTAGGAGATCTTTTTCTTCTAGATCTTATGTTAGACCTGATATCCCTAGGTCTGATAACCATGACCCATCGCTAAATCTTCAAGGTTTAGACACTTCTTCTAGGATTCCCAGAAATGTTTATCAGACTTCTGAAAAAGAAGACGAAAATCAGAGTATCCAATCTCCAACTTACTCTTCCCTTAATGAGTCTTATGATGTTATCTCATAAATTCATTATAGATAAGGAAACCCTTAGGAAAGATTTTTACTCTGAGGAATGGAAACCTCAAAGAGAGTGGTTCTTTCAAAATTATAGGGGAAAAGACAGGTCTGATATCCAAGAGAAATTCTATCAATTTCTCGAAAAAGTCAAACAAAATATTCCATTCTTTGATTGGTATCATGCTTATACCATTCGTAATAATATTAATTATCCCTGGCAAGAAGATGTTATTAGTACATCCTCTGCTAATGTCATAAACTGGCAAATCAAAGATGGACAAATAGTCCAAAGTGATTTACCGCCCATATCTCAATACCAATTGCCTAATTTGAAAGATAAAGGCGGTAACCCTGTTACTGCCACTCCTTTCAAGTCTAAAAGTGCTGATGAGTCTATCACTCCTCATGACATCCAAGGCCTTATGGAACAGGCCAATTATACCAATAAATACCTTCAGGTTTTAGGAGAGAAAATCTCTGTTAATCCTGTCAAAACAAAAATTGAAGAAACTGCTTCTTCATCCTCCCAACCACAACTAGAAAAACCCCTTTTTAAACCTTTTAAGATCAGCGCCAAAGCTAAGCAGAAAATCTTAGAACTTAGGCAAAAAGAGAAAACCAAAATAAATGAGGAAAACCAAAATGAGTTGCTTAGTAAAATTACTAGTCTCCTCACTACCATTCCAGACACTCCTCAACCTACTGAAGAATCTAGTGCTAAACCCAGAACTAGGTCTCTTGCCAAAACTATCAATGCCATCTCCAAGGCTGATTCAGAACATTGTTCTGAAACAGACTCCGTCTTAGCTATTAATCCTATCAATAATTGGAAAAATTCTTCCAAGCTTTATTATAATAGAGCTACTGCTCCTGATCTTATTTTAGAAGAAAAACAAGATTTTATTCAAAGTTTTAATTCTAATGATATTTATATTTGGAATATCGATGGATTATCTGAATATAATATCATTGCCAAACTTCAAAATATGTCGGTTGTCGCTATGGGCTATTTTACTAACCAAAATATGCCTGAAGACACCATTGTCTATATTCTTGTTGCTGGTTTTACTGGCCAACTCAAAGGTTGGTGGGATAATTATCTCACTGAAGCCGACAGAGATAACATTCTCTCTGCAGTCAAAATTGATGATAAAGGGAAAACCATTGTCAGTGACAATGAACGTCTCCCCGATGCTGTGTATACGTTATTATACACAATATCTCAACATTTCCTTGGTGATCCTTCTCTTTGGAGAGAGAGATCCGGTGAGTTACTGTCAAAACTCAAATGTAATTCCTTAGAACATTTCAAGTGGTATAAAGATACCTTTATGTCTAGGGTCCTTACTAGGGAAGATTGTAACCAAGCTTATTGGAAAGAAAAATATCTTGATGGTCTTCCTAAAGCCTTCGGAGATCTTATTAGGAGTAAACTCCGAAGTCGTTCTCCCACTGGAGAAATTAATTATGATAATTATGATTATGGTCAGCTTACTGCTATTATCATCCATAGCGGTATTAAAGCTTGCCAGAAAAATAAACTCCAAAAAGAGCTTGCCAAAGAAAAGGCCTTGAGCAAGAAAGAATTAGGTTCATTCTGCGAACAGTTTGGTCTTCCATCCTGCTCTCCCAAAAAGAAGAAACATGCCCCTAAGAAAGAGGCTGTAGAACCGTACAAAAAGCCCTATAAGCGCCGGTACAATAGAAAACCCAGTCCTAAGAAACAAGGGGATAATGTCATCCCCACCAATATTCCCAAAAAACCCAGAACAGGTATAACTTGTTACAATTGTGGTAAACCTGGCCATATTAGTAAGTATTGCAGGTTAAAGAAAAAGATTAGTAGTCTCAATTTAGAGCCTTCTTTAGAAGACCAAATCAACAACCTCCTGGCTGATACTTCTGATGAGGATTCTATAAAAGAATCCGAAGAAGAGGTCAACCAAATTCAAAATGATGACCAGGCCTCTTCTTCTGACAGTGATGAAACTCCAGAAATCAATGTTTTGACAAAAGAACAAGACCTTCTTTTTGAAGCTATAAGCTCTATTTCGGATCTTCAA